AATTGGATCTTTATAGAACTTAGTTACTACAGTTTTTGAACACCAGAAAGAAACAGTAGGCAAAGAGAATAGAATGGGGGCAGGAAAGAACTAAAATTCAAGTGATCAAGATGTAGGTACAAAGCAAAAGTTTTCTTTACACTAGAGATACGGATGAATGTGCATCTTTTTAATCTGCCTGGAGTGGTTTGATTTGGCCCTCAAGACCATGAGAATCAAAGTTCCTCCTTACCCCAAGTAATCAAGACAACAGGAAGCAGATAATGGAACATTTCTGTCTCCACTAAAGAGCGCTCCCATTAAATTGCTTGTAGGTCTTTGGAAAGGTCAGTCAAAGCTTAAGCAACCCCCTGTTGTTTGACAACATCAGAGCTCAGACACCACGGTCCTGGAGAACTCTGCTCTTTGAAAACAGGGGATGTTTAATTACCTTTTGAAAGCTGGCAGCAGGACAGGATGCAAGGATGTTTTCTTTCTTTTGTGTCAGTGAAGAAGTAGCTATTTTGGTACATGAGAGCACGTAACCCACCGCACTAGAGGGGACTGTCCCTTCCTCTGACCTGCTGTCAGAAGAAAAGCAAAGGCAGGAGGATATTAGTGAAGGTGAGCCTGCTGCAGGAAGGAAGACTTGACATATGAATGTGGAAGGAGAGGCAGAGGCTCCCTATGCCTTTCCTAGTGCAGTATCAACATGCACTCCTTTAAATATATATATATATGTGTGTGTATATATATATGTATATATTTGTTAGTTTTGCTTTTGCAGGAAGACATCAGTGCAGTTGCAGGAAATAGACTGCTGTCACTTTAATGAAATTTGCTTTCATCATCAAAGGAACTGGCAAAACGTTTGCAGGAGTTTTAATTTTTAAAATTGTAGTTCATCTTCTCCCTCCCAGGGGCAGTCTTTCACAGTGCTTTGTTTATGCTATTCAACTATATCTTTTTTTTTCCCCTCTCCCTCAAGGGTTTGCATTTGTGGCATCTAAACAAGCTAAACAGAAACTGTGCCTCAGGGAGAAACATTCTCTGAAGTAATTGAAAATAAACTTGGATGGCATGCCTTGTGTATTATACACATTCAGCAGTGCACATGGTGGGAACAGAGCATTAAGCATGGTACCTACCACTGTAAAGACAGTGTAAATGCATGTGGCACATACGCTTGTGGTAAACTTAAAAGGGATGCATCTGAGGAAAAGATCATTCATTTTGCGTAAATCCAGCCAAGCCTGGCCAAGAGGCAGAGATTCCCTCATCTTAACTTCATGTACAGTACCTGTAGTCTGAGTGCCCTTAATGTGGTTGTTCCTCTTCCCATCAGTATTCGCAGGGTTTTTTTTTATCAACTTGGTGAATTGGCCTGGTTCAGGAACAGCCAGCAGGTAGCCTTTTGGTTGAATACCACACCCCAAGCTGATCTCTCTCACTCAGAGCATGCTGCCTGATCCACAGGCACACCAGTTCAGTGGTTAGGGGAAGTGATCGAGCTTACCAAGGATTTAGCAGGGCAGGTATGACATTGTACAAGCATGGTGGGCTTAGGTAATGAAAGTCTGGCTAGGAATAAAAGTTGATGCCATACATTTAGGAGACGTTTATCCATGGTGTAATATATAAGGCACTGAGGTGGCAGAATCAGATCTAGGTTTAATTTAGCTATGGATTTATCTTTTTATCATGGCCAGATTATATGATCTTCTTAAACTGCATTCTTCAGCTGACAGACCACAATGCCCACTGGCCTTTGCTAACCTTTTGGAAACCTATTTACACAGGTAGCCCAAAGCTCCTGTGCCTTCGGTAGCCATTGTCTCTGGTACTACTGGTTAGCTTTATTGTGGCCAGGCAAAGCAAGTAAGGCAAGAATCTAAACAATATTAAGAAAGATTAGCCATGCATCATCTGTCTGTCATCCTTCACAGCACTGCATACATGCAAAGACCAGTCTTGAAGGCCTTGGGCGTGATAGGTCTTGGCAACCTGGACATGCCCACACCTGAGCTTGCTCAGCTGAACTCCAAGGACAGTCTGGGAACTTTTGCCCAAAAAGTTGCCCATTAGGCTTGTAGGCGTTGTGGGTGTTCTTCCTGAAACCAGTTTTACCTACGATCTTTTTGTCTAGTGTGAAGCAGTGTTCCGATATAAAGTTTGAAGCACGAAGTGTTTGGGCTCCATATATCCCTGAACTGGAAGTGTGGCATTTGCTATGCCTGGGTGATTAGCTTTAATGCCATGTGTTAGGCAGAGAGATGGTGGCTAAGAGAGGTAAGCAGGGCTAATTGCATATGGAAAGAATGCTGTAATGCTAATAGGCAGAAAGAGGCATGTAATGCCTCTCAAATTTGTTGTTACTCTTGTTAATGCTAACATAGATTTATTCACTCCGGTACAGTGCAAGCCTGACTTCATGCACCTGTGACAATTCAGTTTTCTTCATGCCTTTTGCAAATATCACTGAGGAGAAAATAAAGAAAACCCTCAGCAGCAAACCATATGCTGTACGTTCCAGGTACTATATTATCTGATCAAGAGCTGGTATATGTATGTAGGAGGAGTTGGCCTGTAGTACTTAAAATAGTCTATGTGATGCCTATTCAGGATGTTATAGACCAATCCTCTATAATTCATCACTCGTTTTCCTCATCAGCTCAAGCCTAGCTTAACAGGAAGGTTTGCATCTCAATTGCTTTGTGAACAAGGATATACCACTCTAGCCGCCACCCCCTCCTAGCTGGAAATACTTGTATTTTAATTTGTTCCTGACAAAGTGAACGTGTAAGTCAAAAGTATTTTTGCTTTGCCATGCACACTAAGAATTTTGTGATGAGCCTGTTTGACAACTAATTGGCTTCTTACCAAAAGTGAAAACAATAGACACCTATTTTCAGCTGGGAAAGCCACATTCGGTACATTCCCTGGCCAAGATAAAGCATTGAAGCAGCATGACACAAAGTGCTCCAAGCACCCTCTATGGTTTTTCTTTTTTAACAGGTATGCTGACCAACTGACCTCATTTTCTCTCATGTCTCTCTTCTAAAGCATAAACTGTTGGCTAAAAGCATGTTTTCCCATAGTCTAGGTTTTTCTTTCATACTAGCTGAGTGTCTATGTGCACATTGCTTCTTGAGAACAGACATGGAGCTGTGCATGTTACTAAAGGAGATGTACATTCACAGACTTAGTGGGAAGTGGGAAAGTGTTAGAAAAAATGTTGCAAGGTAGTCTAAAAATGAAACCTTAGAAAATATCTGACATGTCTTTAGCTATTACTGTGTTCTTGGTGCTTACTCTTGCTATGCTTAATATGTGGAAACTGGCAATAGCAACTGGATCTCCTGAGAGAAGCTTACCCAGACTTGAAACGCTAACTGTTCTAATCAATAAGAGAGCAGTAACTTATCTTTATACACACCAATGGGTAAAAGAGCAGTCATTCCACCTTTGCACACTTGCACAGATGTATTCAAAATATGCTTTTCAGCAGTGACTAAAATTGGAAGAGTTTTAGAAAGCTGTATGTATGGAATGAAATGCATATGTTTATTTTGAGTAAGTCAGAATATTTTACAGCTTTTCTTTCTTTTTCTTTCTTTTTTTTATCCTTTGTAAGTGCAGTAGCTCCTAGTAAACTTAGTCCAGGCAGGATATATAAATACAGACTCAAAAAACAAAACCAAAGTAGTTCCTGCCCCAAGGATCTTTTGCATGATCTATATGTTCTTGAATGTAAGCTTCCTTCCCCAGTGGAACAGTACTTTTATGTCATTTTCTTTCCCTTTTCTCTTCTCCCTCCCTTATTGTCTTTGTTGGTTATGAAGCACATGAAGGAGTTGCTTTTTAATCTTCAAGCCCACAAGTTTCCAAGAACATATATAGTTGTGAGTCTTTTTATTCAGTGCTGCAATAGTATCTTTCTGTAGAAAGAGACATTTTAGAAGAGAGATAACTTTGTAAAGAGAGATTATTGGATTCCCTTGCCCACAAATTCCTGGGAGATGGGAAGTGAATGCAGTGTCCCTGCAATCCAGCAGTTTAGAATTGTTTATTTTATGCTCATGATGTTTTGTTTTGTTGTTGGCAATATGTAAGATACAACTGGTTTTGATTTCCAGGTAGACAAAGCCTGTGGAGCAACCCAAAGGAATCTCAACCACTTGTTGCTGGCAGAGTGCTAAATAAACAGTAGCAACACCTACCTGTGTGGGTGGCAATTAATCACATCAATCAGCCAGATCAGCTAGCAAAGCCTTTTTTTTTTTCTTTCTTTCTTTCCTTTTGTTCCCTGTCTCCTCCTACCTGCTTACTTCCTGACTGTTGCTCCTGCTGGCAGTAGGGCTGGTGCTCAGCTAAGCAGTAGGTCAAATGCCATAACACAGCCGAATTGCACAAACCTCATTGTGCCTTTTCTCTGTGTCCTGATCACTTCATGCACTCAGCTCAATTTCACAGAGGGCTTTTGGTGTCCCTCTGAGCATGGATTTCTTCTCTTGCCTGGCTTCCTAAAGAAATGGGCCTGTGTGCCCACTATTGCCTGTGTGCTTGCCTTCCATCTGAACAATCCTCCCAATACCTTTTGAACTCATTGAGCTAGTTTTAGCTAGATTTGATGGAGGAGTAGACTTTTCAAAGATACTCATTTCCTATAAGCTTTCCAAAATAAATATGCAGAGGAGAAAACAAGTTTGTCATAGGGAAAGGCACCATCATGAGCTCTTCTTTTAATAGGTACTTAATATACATGCGAAAGAGATTCTAAGTGATTGGATCATGAGAAAACCATCCATCAAAGCCTGTGCCATCATAAGCACCAGTGGTAGCTGGCTGTGAGACACAAGTCGGTAGTTTTAGTTTTCCAGTGTTCTTTGTTTATTTTTTATTTTATTATAGAGAGATGATTAACTTGCTAAAGTTTTATGCAAGCAAAAAAGTTTAAAAAATACTATTCTTTCTCCTAAAATCAAAGGAAGAACATTGTTGTTGTCCTCTTCTCTCACCAGGATTTGAGTGCCGCCCAGACTGCCTTGCCCCTTCCTTGCTGATGTCAAATGGCAGAGGTTGGAGGAACTGGTGTCTATATAGAAAAATACAATCTGCAAACCAATAACTGGAGTAGCAGTAGCAGCTGATGGAGAAGAAAAGGTGACCCACTGCGGGTAAATAGATATTTCTTTAAAGAAGATCTGACTTCCATCTACTACCTTTTTGCCTTTAAGGTGAAAATACAGAATGAATAGCACATTTATGTCTTGGGATATCTGTATTCTAAAATACCTTAAACCCTTATGAGCAGCAGGCAGTTAGAGTATTAAAACAAAATGAAACAATACAGAAACCAAGCATAGGACAGTGCCCAGTTTTCCCTCCCACCTAAACTGTTTCTGATGCCTTCATTTTTTACCTCACTATGAGGTCTAAGTGGTGGTACTTATCACAATATCCATGCTGTCATTTCTGCTGGAGTTGAATTCAGGAGTCACTCGAGTCGAGACCTGGGCTGTGTATCATCCAGTGGGATTGAGCTCCCTGTTCATACACGCTTCCCCTATGCCTGATTCCACTTTCATGTTGTACACCTGTGGAAGAGCAATCAAACAGAACTTACATTTGGAAAAAAGAAATAGAATAAATATGTCCATTTGCAAAACTTGTTTCCTTCTGAAGCTGTGCTTGCTTACACAAAAGAATGACTGTACCAAGCCAAACTAAAGGTCCTTCTAGGTTTGAATCCTGTCCCTGAAAGGGTTAAATGTGGATGTCTAAGGAAGAGTGTATGGATAGGGCAAGGAAAAAGTAGTATTTTTCCAGCTTCCTATGATTTGTGGTCGCAAGACTTCCTGAACCACAGATGAAGTCTTTGTATAATTATACAATACTATGAAAAATCCCAGCTGTAAAAGAGTGTCATTTATCTGCATATTACAACATTAATTAATTACCCCTGCAATTCTCCCATACTTGCCAGGGAAGAGCTGCCTAAGCTGTTTTATCTCCCCGGTGGTAGTAGTTGATTATCACATAATAGACTATGAATTACAAAAACAAGAAAGAAAAAATGCAGGAAATATGCAGGTGGGAAATTTTTGCCATCATCTGTAACTGAGCAAATCATAGTTTATTTCCGTGCAGGTTAAAAGCTGTGAGCAGTCTTGACTTGTCTACAATATTCATGCATCTTTTTCATAGACTTGGGCCAGTCTTGCAGGAAACTTGATTTATGGGTATTCACAGAATGTAAAATTGTGGTATTATGTGGTCTTCCTGTGGAGCCAGAGGAAGTGCAGAGGTTTCAGCTGAGTTTTACTCAGTGGCTGAAGCTCATGAGAATCTCACATTTTCACTTCAGCGTTAGAGGGATGTGTTTCCCTCCAGTGTGAAACCAAGGGAGAGTTTCACACTAATGTTGTGGGCCATGCAGCTGTAAATAGAAAATTCATTTTCAGGGGCTGCAGAAGTCTTTCCTAAATAGCTTGCAGGTTATTTTTGAAGCTCAATCTATTAAATTTCTTTAATAACATAGGCAGCTGTTGACATCGTGGAACATTGTGAACTTGCAATACAGCACACACTAGCTTTTAGTGTATTAAATAGCTCATTTCAACTGCATCTTGAAATGGAATCCTTTTGCGTCTTCATTTGATGCTCATTACATAAGAAACAGCCATAAAACATGACCTTAGTCCTTGGCCCTAGTGGAAAGCATATTGAGTAAATATCTCTCTTCATTGTCAACTTTGGCAATAACAAGTATAATCTAGTGAATCTAGAGTTGAGATTTATTCCTATGTATATTATAATAAAGGCTACCTGTTCCTCAAAGCCTTAAAACTGCACTAGAGGAAAAGCAAATCCTAGATTAAAATACCTGATCCAAAGCACAGGAATTTCTGTTGGTTCTATAGATTTTACTTTAGGTCCAGTTAATGCTACAGGAAGAAATAGTGTGGTGAGATCACTAGGAATTTACGTGTTTTCATCTCTTCTGCGCTTTGTTAAAATGCCAGTTGCTTTTCCAGTGATTTTTAAAATTTGAGGAATCTATTGTTTCAGATCAAATCTGTAGACAAACCTCTAGCCCTGTTTGAATGCAAATGGCTTGAGGAATCAGCATGATATTTAAGACTCAATGTGCTATTCAGAGTTCAAGTTTAAAAAAAAAAAATCTTCTGTAATTTAAGACTGAATTCAGTAATACCAAAAATCTAATGAAATCTTCTTATGTGAGTTTTTCCCCTAGTGCTGCTGGAATCTCCCAAGAAAGGATTGCTGCATTTAGGACTGGGGAAATGTGGTTATATTTCTCTTGTGTGTTATACCTGAACTGTACTGACAGAGCATCTCAAAGCTTTCCTTGGAGCCCTCCTCATCCAGCACTGCTACACGACTGAGCAATTGTTTCCAAGCTGCTGTTGCAGTGTCACTGGAATTCCAAGACTCCAGTTTAGGCCTATTAAAAAGTACCTGTAAAGCCTTTTTCTTTACTCTTGTCTTTGCCTCACATCCCTTAACTTTTATCCTTTTTTCCTTCCTTCTTTATCCTTTCTTCTCTTGTTTCCTATCTTGTCAGTTCTTTCTTCTAAAACTCTTCAAAAATTAATTTAAGAATAAACGAAAAATAAATTGACATTGGATTGAAATTTATTGAAATAAATCTAGAGCTTGTGGAAATATCTCATTAGCACTACCAATGAATGGGTGAGGTGAAAACTTCTGTATGCTGCAAAGAGGTTCGAATTGCTATATGCCAGAAGGGTCATCTTTGGTCTCTCTTTAGAGATTGTCAAAACAAGTGAAGACAAAAATAATCATGCACTGCAGGCGTTTGCTCAGCAGCTGATTTGAACTAATATTACATCCACGTTAGATAAGCCTCTTACAGTCTAGGAATTGATTTTTGGTAAAATTTAATAAAACATCTTAATGACTGTGCTTTAGCAAACTTTGACCAATAACTGTGAGGTCTCCTTCTGGCTTGTATAAAGCTAGCAAAAGTCATCATCAGCGAAGTTAGCCACATTGCGTTGCCAGCCTCTCTACTATTTGGTGCTTCACTTGCAGTTTCCTTCAGACACCTTTGGGCTGTATTCCCCCCTAGCTGTTCACCTACATGCATTTTTTCAGGGTTATTTATTAAGTGAAGAGTAAAATTAGAGTCTCTGAACTTGAAGAATTAAGTTAGTCTCCTGTCTTCAGGAGGACCTCTGTCAGCCTGCCATACTGCAGAACTAGATGAACTAGCTTTTCTTAGACCATTTTTTTCTCACCAAGATTAGACAAAGTTGTTTCCACTAAAAGGTGGATTCGTTTCGGTAACTGGCAGGAAGAGGAACGGGAGATCTGAAAGCTTCAGAACAGAAATCCCTTTTACTAGATCAGGCATATTCTGCTTTTTACAGAATTAGCCTGCCCATCTCTAGAAGAAATAAACTGGCAACTCGGAAGACAGAGTATTAAAAAAAAAAATCTTCTTGATGTTATTGACAACTACCAGTGCAAAAGTGGTTTATATGATTTTCCACTAAAAGAACTTACATGTGCACTTAAATGTGCAATCTGACTCCAATGAAGTAGTTTTATTATGTTCAACCGTTATAAGATGGGAACCTAACAACTACATAAGTGATAAAAAGGCTAGCATTGATTTTACATTTTCTATTAATTAAGTACTGCCAACAAATTCTTCAGCAATTTGTTCTCCCTTAAATTCCAACAGCTCGACAAATCTCTTTCTCAGTGTTTTCTCCACTGATTTTGCATCAATATTCTATGCAAATACAAATGTGGATTATTTATGTTTACAACAGAAGCTAAGGGGTGCTGCTTAGTCTGAATAATCGGTGAAAAGCTTGCTTCTCTTTCTCTCCTTCCTCTTTCCCACCCTGTTCTCCAGCACATCCAACAAAAGTAGGACTCCTTTTTATAAGATCTCCACTTCTTGCCAACATGTAGGACAACTATAATGCAGATCTACAGTAACTTTAGCACAAAGCACATGCAAGTGGTGAAACTCCACCAACTACACAGCCCAAGAGCAAGCATATTTTCAGCCCATCAAACTCTCCTTTCTACAGACTCCTGGAAGATCGTGAAGTCCACACAGATACCAAAGAGATTGCACCTCTGCTGGATAAAGAGAGAAGTTCAAAGAGGAAGCTCCTTAAGATGCCATTGATTTTTCATTAACATGAATGTAAGCATTACCTTGGTGCTACCCTTGGTTTTTATGTTCCCTTCTTAGTTCTAATGCCTTCTAGAAGAGAGATGAACAAGAAATACATCTTCATGCAGTAGCACTCTCAATAACGCAAACCTCCTTGTACCCCTTGTTTCTGTCTACCATTTATTTCTTTTCCACTTAAAAGAGCCACACTCCTCTCTCCAGTGCCTATTTATGTTTAGAGGATAGTGTTTCACCATGCCTTGTATGTAATCACTTTGCATCTGAATGGATGCAACATAATACGTGTAAGAACTCACCTGTTATTGTTCCAGGTACGCATAATGCTCATTTTTATTACATGAGCACAGCAGGGCATCATTTTCTTTCAAGGGTGTCCTTCTCAAGATACTCTTTTGTTTACTCAAATCAGACCTTAATTTTTAAAGTGTTCTAGCGGAACAGAATGTTTTATTGCACACTCTCCCATGTGACACTCACTCATGTGGACAAGGCTTTACCATTTCTCCACGTTCCCTTGGTCTTCAAGAAAGATGAGACAAATAGTGATGGAAGAAGTTAGGGTTTGTGATGTTTGTAGAGGAGGAACAACCAAGGAATTTCTGACATCTGATGTTTGAAGGAGGAATTGTGATGATTCTTAAACACATTTTTCCCCTGTGCTAGCAAATTCTCTGATAGAAAAGGAATCTGGTTAAGTAAAGTTTTGCTATGGGCACAATTTTGAATCTCAATTAAATTTTATTATCTGAAATTATTTTGATGTAATTGCTGAGAAAAAACAGGGAAGACTCCTAATGACACAAATCCAGGGAAATATATCACTGAAATGAGAACATCAAGGTTTCAGTTTAGTCTGAAATGTCACCAAAGTCTTTTCCGAAGACTTTCTAGTTCTGTCTTGGAAGCCTTACAAGCATTTGTTTCCCCTTAGGACTTTTAGAATTTCCCTGTTTAGACTGAGAGCTCTCTGAAGCGGAGGCTGTTTTGATAAACTGTGTGTACAGCACCTTACACAATGGACCTCTGATCCTGCATCTCTGCATTATGGCAATGCAAATAAATATACGAATAGCTGTCCTTGAAAGGTAAGGAAAATAAAAATGGGATTCTCAAGGGAGTTGACATATACAGGATAAACAGTCTCCTCTCATTATAATATTGTATTTATTGAAATCCAGGATTTAGTGGATGCTCATCTTTCTTGGGGTGACAGAAATATTCTCCAGTGTTGTCCTGTTGTCCTATTTTGGTGCTCAGTTTCTTGCTTGTTTGCTTTTTATCCCGTTTTGCCTGCCACTAGGGAAGACTGTTTTAATAACATTTGTAGCTGTCACTTTGATCTGCAACAGGAAAACTCAGGATTGGCTTCTCTACCCATAGGGAAACAGATGAGATCAGAATATATCAGTTTTAAAAACCTCATTAGATTGACTCTGGAAGAAATAGTTCTTATTCCTTCATTAATTGCAAATTATGTCTTTATTTTTAACAAAAACGCTATGTTTTCTACCCATGACTATTTATTTGTGGAGGCTGGAGGCTGATTTCCATTTATTCCTGACACACATAAGGTTATTTTTTCCTTGTAAATAAAAGATGATCGTTTCCAAAGTCTCTCATTTACTGCAGGTTTTTGTGTTTGTTTGTTTTCTAATGTTCCTTTGTCCTAGAATTAGTTAGCAAAATAGTCACTGTTTACAAGTGCTTCCATAAACATACATAGTTATAGAGCAGGGTAATATAATATCAGATTGGGTGTGGATAACGATTCAGCAAGCACTTCATAGTCTCACTGATAATCATAACTAAGCTGATTTCAGATTAGCTGCCCTTGGTGCTAACAAGAGAGCGGACAGACTTTATTGACAAACATAGAAAAGCGATGAAACACCAGGGAAGCAGGTGAAAACCATGCTGTTTCTTCTGTCATTGCCTCCTTCCCTGGCGCTCTGGGCTGGGCTGGCCTGAGAGAGGTGCTGCCAGGTGTATTTAGCAATTGTTCTACAGCCTTCAGTGTTGAGCGTGCATCTGCTGTTCCAGGATTTCATGGTCATTCAGGAAGGGCTCAAGTGAGGGTGTCTCTGTTAATTCCCAAGTGTGCTGGTGGGTAAAGGAAGGACTTGACAAAAATCTGGATGTGCAAAAGGAAGACCAGGTTCTTCACTGATAACTGCAAGCTATTCTTGATCTTGTAGTACATCTTAAGAAAAAGACAGCTGTGCAGGACTCAACTACAGTAAACAGTGTGCGGTGGCTCAGCACTATTGCCTATGCAGCCAACAGCAGCTTGGTTAGACCTGTGAAGCATTTCCCTGTTTCTGCTTGTTTGCACTAGAAATGGAGGGAAAAGTCTGCCCACATTCCTCCCCCATCACACTGCAGCTGTTCAAGGGAGCCTGGAATTTTGCATGGTGGGTGCAAATGGCTGGAGAAGGATCTTCCTTATTGCCAGCTTTCGTCCTCCAGGTATTTCTTTCCTGCTGTTTCACGTGAAACAGATAGTTTGCAGAACTTCAGAAAATCCTAGGGGCTGAAGACTGAGCAGGTGCTGAAAAGTATTTTATAAGAATAGTCACATAAATTTTCTTTGACCTTTTTCATGCCCTGTTTGTTCTTGCTTACTACCAGTGTTCTTGATGGTACAATTTGGGGCTGGAGGAGATAGGAGTGGTCATATAAAAATAATTAAGGTGAATATTTGCAGGAAGGCTTTTCGTTAGCACCAGATAAGTGACTGATTATAAGAGAGAACCTTAAGGCATTGTAAAAACAAAACAAAACAGTTAAGCTGCGTCCGGTCAGAACAACTCCAATTGTGAATTTAGCTCATAAAAATCCTTACAAAGTACTCATTCATAATTAACAAAATGATGTAATAAATAATTTTACATGAATAAATTTGAGTAGGGGACTGCCAGCAATAATAACTTTTCTTTCCTATTCTCCTTCTATCAAAAGTTTCCCTGTTGTTTCCCATTAGCTGGCCACTGGGACAGTCTATGAACATAATGGGAGGAGAGCTTCTTTGCATAATTGTAGAAAAAAAGGATAGTATCCTTAAGAGTCTTTATATCCTGCTGTCTGTATTCTGAAAATGGTTGAAGCCGTTTAACACAGTGCCTTTCAACTGTCTTTCTCCCAAAATATTTGCCAAGCATTGAAGTTTTGGTTGCATTGGGCAACGACAGACTATACCCATGTAACCTATTCTGAATTAGAAGTGTGTCATTTTTCATTGGAAGAATGCTGGCTAAATTTTGTCTAGGATAAACATTGTGAAATTTCATTTTGGGCAACCCTTCAGGAACATTTCCCTAAAAATCTGTTCATAAGGGGGAGATTCATATGTTTGCACATTTTTTTCTAGACTGACGTAGTTTCTCTCAAGAATGAGGTTATTCTGGAAGTCAGTTTTACAAAATATATATTTAAACTTTAAATGTTCTGTTTCTAAAATTCAGAAAACAAATAAACTAGCTGCTAAGGACTATGCCTGGCAGGTGCCAGCGAGTCCGAAGGTAACATGACATTCTCATGAACTTCCTGTAGATAATTCAGCCTTACAGCAAACCCTTTAATTCTCTTGTTATCCATCTCAAATATTGCAATTATTGCAAATATTACTTGGCTATTTCATGAAGCATTAATCATCTTTATCAGATATTTGGCTTCAGAAATTATTTTGTAATGTTGTTTACTTTGTTACTCAGAGACGAATTATTACAGAACATTAATGCTGGCCATGGGAAAAAACAAAAAGGAGGGCGAAAGGTTTTATCCTTTACGTCAAGAAACAATTGTAGAATGCTTACGTGGCCAGGTGAGCACTTTCAGATGCGACTATGCCTATGCGTTGCTATCGGGCAGTGAATAACGGTTCTATGGTCTACTGCTTAAGTTGGGTTTCCTTCTAGCTCTGCTTTTCTAGGCCTTCCAAAGTTGACACGCCTGCAAGATGTGACTTAGTTAGGAAAACAGAGTCCATCAGGTGATCCTTTTTTAAAGCAAAACAGCAACAACAAAAACAAAAAAAACCTCTTCATTTAGTTTCTTGCGTCTTGTAGTGGGTGTATGTGTTTCTCGTGAAAGATGTTGAATCAAAAACCTTAGACTCCAAGTCCAGGCTTCACTGGAGACCGACACATTACAAATCCAAATAGAAGCGTTCTCTGCCCTGATTGCATCTGCATGGCTGCTTGATTGAATTTAACAAGGTTGTTCACATGCAATGCGGTTGGAAAGTAGTTGTCAGCAGCTTTTGACAAGCTCTTCTGAAACTCTCTTTTGTAGGGCTGCCATTCTATACCTATTATTGGGTTAATCTACTGTAAAGCCCCTGTGTAAGAGGGTACCCCAAAGCATAGTTTTCCAGGGGAAAAACCTCATAACTCTCTGCTCTTGAAAGAACAATTTATCCAACGTGGAAAAGGTGTTTAGATTTCTCCTCAGAGATCCTAATTTGAACTTACAGTTTAGCAGGGTACTGGGTCTGAGTCTGGGTAATATCTCTGGCACTGTGTGGGTAAAGTGACCTCTGTGATTCTTGATGTAAGTGGTTAACTGGGCATATTGCAGCCCAGTTGCATTTAATATTGCTCTTTATGTAGAGTCAATGGCTGAGGTGTCCAGCAGTGAACTGTTCTCAGAGAGAGAGAGTTGTTTAGTCTCCATATCTATTAAGTCTTAGGTGGTATGTGGAAATCATAAGCTAGACAATTAAGCAGAAGCAGACTCTCTGTGCTGACTTCTCTTCAGACTGGACTCCCCACGCAACCCTGCTATGAATGAACATCTGAAAAATTAATTCCCCAGCAGTTCCTCTTGGACAAAAGTAGCACCTACACATGCTAGAAGTAAAAGGAGCCACAGCTCACAATCCTTTGGAGATTAGCTATTCCCCTTTGTGGTTGGTATAGGCTAGAAAGCACCAGTGTTTTAAGGCTGACTTATGGTTATGACTGTTATTAGACTGGGAATACAGTTTTTCCTAAGCTGATTTTTTTTAAATGGATTTTATCTAATCTTCTTGAAATTCCAGAGCTTAAGGGCAAGCACAAAGAAATGAGAGGCATGTGACCAATAGTTCTGGGTATTTTATCCCCTTAAAATAGAGGCAATTGGCTTCCATAGATTTATTGCTTCCGACTCAGGTGCTTTCATACGAAAGAATTATCAAATTCTCGATCCCTTTTTCTATCCAGTATTTCCCCTTTTTGGCTTGGTTTAAAAATAAAAGGAAGGATAGTTAAGCAGCTGAGTGCTGAGGGAAACTATTGACTGCTGTCATCATTCCTTATTGTTAAGAAAATGAAAATGTTAATGTTAATGTTAATGTTAATGTTAAGAAAATGTTAAAAAAACAGCCTCGATAGTTGGGCTTGGGAAATTTAGAGATTGCAGTGAGGGAAGGGCAAAGCCTGATCCTTGCAGGACTTGCTTGAGCAACATAAGATGGTCCTGCAAATCTCAGTCCATCTTTATGTGACCTTATGTTACTCATTAGACAGCGGGGCTTGTAAAGCTTAGCTGATACTTGCAGAAATCATCATATTCAAGGTTGAGGAATAGGTTTTTTATTTAAAAGTGTTATTTTGAATTAAAGCACAAAACATCTGCAATAGCAGGAAGGCACCTTCTGAATGATGAGTTGGGGTACGGGATTGAAGGAAGTTCTTTTGTCTCTCATCTCTGGGATTACCTTTTGTTGCTTTAAGGGAGAAGTGTGTCTTTCAGGATAATTCAAATGAGATGAGAACTAATGAAAATTCATTATGTCTTATCATATTGGCTCTATTAATCTGTAAAAGAGAGGACCATGAGACTAAAGTCAGTGATCTGGGAATACTTTGCCATAAGAACCTGTATAGAAAATCACTAAGACTATGGACGAAAAGTGTTAGACATGATGACAGTGGTGGTGTTTTCTTGTTTATAAAAGGGGAGTTAAAACCTATAACAGAGCAGAGAGAGAACAAGAGGGTGTGATGGTATATAGATATTGTAATTAGATAGATGGGCTTTTTCATTATCTGTCTCGTGTTTCTCAGTTTCCATATCATACTGCGTTTCCAAACTATCTTGCGTCCTCCGGCTT